ACAGCTATTAAAAGAAGTAGTGCACAATGACAATGGCTACCCTTTATACAGACGCAGAGCTCCGGAAGATGGTGGCAGGAAAGTTACAATCAAATCTCGCTCTGGAGCGTTCGAAACCTTAGATAACAGCTGGATGGTCCCGTGTTCGCCCATTCTATGTAAAATGTTTAATGACCACATTAATGTAGAAGCATGTAACTCTGTCCGCGCAATCAAGTATATCTGTAAGTACATAAATAAAGGAAGCGACCAAGCAATATTTAATCTCAGGAGTGAAGGTGAGGCAAATCCCATTAATGAAGTACAGACCTTTCAAACAGGGCGTTATGTCAGCAGTAACGAGGCAGCGTGGCGTCTCCTTGGCTTCCCTTTACACGAAAGGCACCCAACAGTTACTCACCTTGCTGTACACTTAGAAAATGGAGAGAATGGAGAGTGTGTATATTTCACCGAAAGAAATTTCCAAGAAAGAATTGCATCACCGCCAAAAACTACACTAACAGCCTTCTTTCAACTTTGTCAAACCGACCCCTTTGCAAAAACGTTGTTATATTCTGAATTCCCCCGCTATTATACTTGGAACACATCTAGGACGGAGTGGAAACGCCGTATTCAAGGCGCGCCTGTTGAAAATCGGCCCAGTGTAAAGTCATCAGATGCCCTTGGTCGTGTGTATACCGTCCATGTAACTAATTTTGAATGTTTCTGTTTACGATTGCTGCTGCACCATGTTCTTGGTCCTACAGGATATAAAGACCTTAAAACTGTCAATGGTCAGGAATGCGCGACTTATAGAGAAGCATGTGAAGCTCTGCATCTTTTAGAAAACGATAATCACTGGGATGAAACCATGGAGGAAGCTGTGCAGTGCCAGTCACCAGCTAAAATTAGGGATCTTTATGCAACTCTCATATCATCTTCCGGGCTATCTAATGCACATGAATTGTGGGACAAATATAAAGAGTACATGGCGGAAGATATTTTGCGAAGGTTACAGCAGACACACGCGAACATGACATACAATGAACACATTTATAATGAAGCACTTGGAAAAATTGAAGATAAAGTAATGGAATGAAAACTTTGGAATGATAAGCCCTCGATGAACAACCGAAAATAAAATAAGTGATTATTATATACGTGAAACAAACTACGATATACCAGCTTTGCAGCAGCAAGTAGCCGAATTTGTACCCCGCTTGCTTCCTGCAGATGAAATTAAAGCATGCCTCAAGTCGTCTATTTTATGGAACAAGGTGACAAAATTCTGTTTAACTACGAATATGAGAGTGCATTTGTATAATAATATCAATGCTGGAAACTATGCTGACACACTATTAAAAATTGGCGATGGGCGGTTGGAAACGGATGCTGAGGCCTGCGTTAAATTGACGAGAGATTTTTTTAATTTAGTACAGAGTCATTCCGAATTAATTAAGACCGTTTATTCAGATTTAACGTACAACATGCATGAAGACAAATGGTTATGTGAAAGGGCGATTCTTGCACCAAAAATGAGAGCATTAACAAAATAAATTCAGATATATTAAGCGAAGTATCAGGAGAAATAACAGATTATTTGTCAGTAGACACAGTTATGGACACAGAACAGAGCACTTTCATATCCCGTAGTTTCTAAATTCTCTAGAGTTGTCAGGTGTGCCCTCACATAAGCTTCAATTAAAATTAGGCGTCCCAGTCATGCTAATGCGAAATTTAGATGCTCCTCGGTTATGTAACGGGACAAGGCTGCGTGTGACACATCTTGGACGGAACATAATCGGTGCTACAATTTTGACAGGCGTAGGAAAAGGTGAAAATGTTATTATACCACGGATCCCTATAATTCCCACAGATCTTCCTTTTCAATTCAAAAGGTTGCAGTTCCCTATTAAGCTCAGTTTTGCAATGACAATTAATAAAGCGGAAGGGCAAACATTACAGGTTTCAGGCTTCAGGCTTCTCTCATGGTCAGCTGTATGTAGCATGTTCGCATGTGTCAAATGCCCAGAATCTCCACATTCTTTCCCCGAATGGAAAAACATATAACATTGTGTACAGTGTTCAGTTAATTATTTTTTCCAAAATTCCCACAATCAATTAATCAGAATACCCACAGATCTTCCCTTTCAATTCAAAATTTTCTATTTAGCTCAGTTTCTTTTCAATTCCAAATGCTGCACCTCTGACGGACCTATTAAGCTCAGTTTCCTTTCAACTCAAAAGGCTGCATCTCTGACGGATCTTTTATTTGGCTCAGTTTCCTTTCAATTCAGAAAACTGCATCTCTGACGAATCAATTTAGCTCAGTTTCTTTTCAAAAGTCTGCATCCCTGACGATTAATTATGTGACAATCAGTTTCCTTTAATTAAAAAAATATCCCATTTCCATTTGGAATAAACAGGCTATTTTCATGCTTTCCTATAAGCTGCGTTTTAAAACATTTAAATAGGCTGACGAATCAATTTTGCTCAGTTTCCTTTTAATGGCTGCATCTCTGACAAATCTATAAAACTCAGTTTTCTTTCAATTCAAAAAGCAATGGATAGTTCATTTCCCAGTGACCATGCGGGCGAAGCCGCGGGTAACAGCTAGTAAGAAGATATAATTCATAATGTATTGTCGCCAGGCGCGAACAAGGGACTAGCCTAGGGCGCTGTTGACTTCACATCACCACTGATCTTCCCGATAACAACTTTCAATAATAATAAATTGTGGCCTTCTGCAACCCACCTGACAAACTTGGCAACTATGACATATATAATAATATATACCATAAGAGCTTCCCCAGGGGCAATCTATGGGGGCGGCCTATGTTCAGCAACAGTCTTTGATAGGCTGTAATGATGATGATGATGAATTTTAGTTGCTAATTTAACACGAGTTCAACGAAAGAAAAAACCATAGTACATTTATTAACCACATACTCGTACATCAGTCACTTTAACGTAGATCCCCAAAAATATTGAAGTAGCGCGGCGGATTTTTCCCTGCTCTAAATCTCGTTTAGAAATAAGAAGAAGCCTAAGCCCAGCTATGGGACGTATGTCGGCTGTTACTTGATGTGATTTTGTATTGTGATATTGTGAAGAGATTAAAATCGTTAATGAATAATGTGACTTTATTTAGATTTAATCAAAGACCATTTCTTTTATAAATATCGTTTTCTTTTTTCAAAAATATCTCCTAGTTTTTCGGATATGATAGCCTAGAACACTCCTTACAATGCTCTCATTTTCAACCACTCCGGATTCAAGGAATAATGCAAAGTATAGTCCTGAGCCATCTGCATTCATCGACTTCCTACATCTCTCAGCGGTTAAAAGCGCGGGGCCTGTAGCAAATTCTATCTAGGGGCCCTTGATCGGCTATGGGCTCTTAAGTATAAAGTGGTAAAAAACAAATACTTAATACGTTTATTTACCATCTATATAGGTTACAATTTAGTTCGTGTTTAGTAATACAGTACTTAACTATAGGCCCCGTCAGAAGTGAGATTGTCCTTTCAATTTAGAATGATATTGATAAGAAACTAATACATTTTTTAAATGTAAATCTGTTTTAGTAAGCACCTACATATTTCGAAGTTCCTACATATTACAAAGTATATTACATTTTTAGGAAAAGCTAATGATATATTTTGTCAATGGTGTACCTGTACTGAAATCGAGGAGATACGACCAAGGATTCCAACGATGTAAACGCGAAGGTCTTTTGGGGGTTAGACTGGACTACATTTACTCGCTCTCAATCCGAGACTTTGTTCAGCAAAGACTTGACTTCAGACACAAATTGGTTCCGGCACTCGACGATGTTCCCGAGAAATGTTAGCACGGCCGGCGTCGGAGTATGTCGTTTGTATAACAATGAATATTACTCGTATGCAACGTGTCATTGATGTGCAGAAGGAAGAGGATAGGCAACAGCATGCAGCCTTTTGGACCACCAACATTAACAGACTTGGAGTCGAAGCATGCACCGTCGACTGAAACCTTAATACACCGATTTGTAAGCAAATTGGTGACGCCATTGGATAATTTTCGGAAAACCCATAAGAGGGAAGCTTTGAAAGAAGCCAAACCCGATGAAGTACTTCACTATGTCCAATCTAATTGCCAGGGCCTACCAGTTGGTCTCAACTGCCTCCGCCCATCGGTGAGTCAGGTAGACAAGAAGATCACCAGCTGAGCGACCTCGACGGAAATCGTAGTGACGGTCATATATCAGCTGATGCTCTTCAAGGTACCGCATTAGCCGGCAGTTAGTGATGGATGCCATTATTTTGGAGAACAAGGTGATGGTCGTAGGCGTGTAGTTGGACGCGTCAGAGGGGTCACCTTTTCTAAGGATCGGGTGCACTAAAGTTGCCTTCTATGAGCCTGGAGTGACGCCTAAAGTGTAAGAGAACCGGAAAAGATGCGTAAGAACTGGTGCCAGCTCTGGAGCACATTCTTCAGCCCAATTGGAAGGATTTCATCAGGCCCACTCGGCTTGTTGACGTCGAGGGACAGGAACACTTTGCATACAATGAATGCACTGTGTAAACAGGGGATTAAGCACTCACACCGTAGGATGTTCGAGGGTATCGAGTTGGAAGTAAAAAGAGAACCTAAAAGATCGGCTTTCCCTTTTACGGCGTGGGCCAGCAAGTAACATTCCCTGCACAAAGATGGTAATAATGCCTTACAGAAATTCCCTTGGGCAGCCTTGGCGAGGGATCAGAACGCATGAGTTCCCGAAAGAAAGCGAACTATTTTCTCGCCAATGCTCCCAATGCGCTCCGACTTTGCCGTAGCAATAACTCTTTTGAAGACCTGAAAGCAGAGTTGTACTTCTTTTTGAGTGCGCTAGTGTTTGCATCTCGGGACACCGATGCGGCAACTCAGGCCTTGTAATTATTGACTCGACGCAATTTTGCAGTGACACGCTAATCAAAATAATATATAAAAAATAAATGTCTATAATATATTATACTAAACTTATATCATTTTAATTTCAGGACCAGTTAACAGGCAATCGGAACATTACGGATATCCAAGGGTGAAGCCATCCATACCGTTTCCACACGAAGATATTGTTCGAGATAATGCATTTAATGTTGCACCATTGCTGCATCACAACTACTTTGGTAAAGATTAAAATATGCGATATACATAGAAATTTAGTATATAAGAGGACCGGAGCGTTCAAGATATCATTCCTTTATTTCAAAAGGTCTGAAAAAGAGGAGGTAGAGTGTAAGACAAACGTAGGAAGTAACAGACCAATACAATAGACAATAATACGGTAATTTGACAACATAAGTTTTGAGATTGCATAAAAAACGTTTAAAAATTTGGTTTATTATATTTGCAATGAACAAACCCGAAAATCTTGTTAATAAATTTAAATAGATCTAAATACCTAATAAACTTAATGACACTGTCATTAAAGTTTATTCTCGATTCCCTTCTATATGTACCTACTGTTACATCATTTATTTTGCTTGTATAATAATAGTGTATGATCGATTACTGCGTTCATCATCTTTAATAGATTTTTTTTTAAACTCAAACTGTTTAAAGACAATGTCGTAATCACTTTCAAGTAGAAGCCACTTAATGCTCTAAAATAATTTGCGTCAGTAAAAACTACTACACTATATTTAGGTAGCTACCGCCATATCAGCCGTATCCACAGACCACACAGTCTAGAGTGGTCTGTGGCCGTATCAATGATAAGGGGTCCCCGGACTACAGGAGCCCCGAACGTGAGTAAGCAAAACTTCGTAAAATGTTATCCAAAATGTCACCTAAACTCTTAGGCCGTACTTCTAGAGAAAAAATCATATCATCAAATAGTTCCCAACGTGTCTAAAGAAGACCTGTCAAAAACTGACCAATTTTCTATGGTTTTTCGATACGTCTCGATAACACATAAATACAACGATATAGTTATTATAATGTATCTAAAGAAATGAAAATCTGCGAGTTCTGTTTGGGGGTTGTAGCAGAATAAATAATAGACAATAAATAATAATAATAACCTTTATACTATGTCACATGTTTATCAATATTACATGCACAAAATTTACAGTGGCCATTAGCCCCTAAACTAGTATTCGTATATTATATTAGTATATTATAATACTAACCTGTATTTCAGGGGCAAAATAAATATTTGCCTAGAAATAATAGTTCCCTAGGCTAGGGGTCGATCGAATCGAAATTCATATATATTATTTTTCTTCCGAATCGGAAAACTGAAACTTCCGAAACTGGCCCAAGATACTTAGTAGATAAAGATTACCTATAAAAATGTATACATATTTCTTGTTTGAAAGGTCAACGCTGAAATAAAAGTACTATACCTCACAGAATTACAGATTAATTAGGATCTTGGCATTAAATGATTTAAAATGAAGACAAATATTTATTAGTAACGTTTTTTGGAATACTTGCAAAAACGCCTAATTTTTCGCTTAAAAATCCCTTGTAGCAAAGAAATTTAGAATACGATTGCAAATCTACATTAAAAGTGACGAATTAATCCAGGATATTAAATTAAGTCCACTCAATAATGAAATTAGTGTTGGCACTTGGCAAATATCGTAATATTATCATAATACCGAACACCGAGTACCTCGCAAACTGTTAGTATTTTCTTCAGCTAAGGATATTTGACTTTGTACTTCCTCTTCTCGCGTATTCCAAGAACTAATATCTGCAATCAGTGTGCTTCAGTTAAATTAAATACGAATTAATTCGAGTCTTTAATGAGGTTCCTAAGGAAAAAAAGGAAAATTCATTATTTAAAAAGATTCAAACTTTTTTGAGCAATGTTCAAACCTTTTAGAAATTATTTATCTGTTTAATTACATCACAATACTCTATATATACAATAATCTTTTAATAGTGAAATAAATCACCATGATTTTTGGAGCATTTGTCTTTTTTGATTTATTTAAAATCATCAACAAGGATACTACCACATACATGTATGTATATAACGGATTTATATACAAAACTCACTTATAGTTACAGTCACAACATTAACAGTTATAAAAAAAATTACAACAGTGAGACAATTTAAATTAAAACAAAAAATTATAAAATATTAATTAAAAGTAAGACAACACTTTAGGGGCCGATTTTTCAATAATCATATAAAAGTTATCCATCGTATAAATTGTAATTTTATCATATTTAAATTTTTTGGATTTTATTATACAAATAAATTTTATCTGCGGATTGAAAAATCGGGATTTTTAGTCTATATTATTTATAATATTACAACGAAAAAGAAAATCGATAAATTATTATTCCTGCATGTTTTTACACTTCGTTGATTGATAATATGATTTTTCAACGTCTAATCATGTCATGTGTTGTTGGCGTAATAAAATACACTACCCCATAAGATTTAGTGGCTTTTGTATGAGAACACGAAGGGAAATGGAACGAGATAGGCAGCAGCCTAGCTGCTAAAAAAAAGCCTGGACAAATTGCAGAATTTATAAATTACGCAATAATATTATATAAAACAAGGAAGTATACTTTGATTAAATTTTGTTTTAATTTTGTAACATGGACTTTAATAGGCTGTAACGGTAAACAGTTTTTTTGATGATGATTAAAGTGTAAGTATTAAACTGTACTTGGGGTAAAAAGTCGGAAGAAAAAAACAAAAAAAGTACCCCGTCTGGGATAGATAGTAGTAGTTTTCTAGGTTTGATAAACGGAATAACCCAAAAAATAGACTTTTTTAGCAATAGTATAAAGCGCTTATCCAATGCTGAGTAGCGATTCGTCTAAATATATAAAATTACCCTTAAAAAGATATCCTACTATATGGTCTTCAAGAAACGCTTTATCAGCTATAAAGAAAAATTATTTTGATAATGAATTACATTAATAATGAAAACTAAATTTAATTTCCATCAAAAAGGCGATCGTGACGAATGTGAAAATATAATTACGATTTTAAAGAGCTACGATTATATAGTGCGTGTCGCCTTATTCATGCACTATTTGAAATCATTTATCCTGTATCTAAAGCTGGTTTGCTGAGCGAGTCCAGAGGTTAGCAAAAAAACTGCTTTCAAAAATAAAGAAAAGAAAATAACGAAGCGGTTTTTTATGAATAAGTTATCAGAAAGTGAGAGAATTTTATACCCGGAATCGTATTTCAAAGTCAATGTGTACTATTGCTGTTTAGATATATTATTGTCTCAAACTAAACAAAGATTTCAGAGCCTCTGAGACCTAAGTAATGTATTCAAATTATTACAACCGGAGAAACTCTTATCTGTTTCCGGCGTGAAGTGGAAGCTCTGCTTCCGCGTTTCGTGTGATGACTGCAGGTGGCCAGAGGCCCTAATCCCCCCCCCCATCAACATGGTAGCGGAATTAAATGATGATAGACTACTCCAGGAGGGTACCAGCACCCCTGGAGATTCCCTCGCTGAGCATCCACGACCATGTTTCTCCACTCCCTGAGCGTGGGTGCTCAGGCTGCGCCGCGTATTCCGGGGGGGGGGGGGGAGCAAAATTCCGCTCAAGACTACAACTACTCACGGCAAACGGAGCAACAAGACCAAGGCGACCCCTGCCACGCTATCCGTGAATTTCTGCAATATCAGGGCTTCACTCTAACCTAGACGCCGTCCACTACCATCTCGAGACGGCGAGGCCGGCTCTGCTCTTTCTGACCGAGACGCAGGTCTCCTCTCCGGCTGATGTCTCGTATCTCTCCTACCCGGCGTACAAACTGGAACACTCCTTTGTGCCTCGGGCTGGAGTTTGCGTTTACGTCAGAGAGGACATCTGTTCTCGACGCCTCGGCAGTCTTGAAGGTTCGGACCTGTCCATCCTATGGCTACGCGTAGACAGCGACGACCATCCGAGCTTCTACGCGTGCTTCTATAGGTCCCATAGCGGTAATGCCGAAACAGACCGACTCTTCGGCCACGTCCAAATGGCTACAGATTCGTTGCTACTGCAGTTCCCCTCCGCAGAGATCGTGATCCTTGGTAACTTTAACGCCCATCACGCCGCATGGCTTGGTTCACGTTTAACCGATCATGCGGGGAGATCTGTTCATGATTTTGGCTTGGCATATGGTCTGACACAACTGGTTACTTCGCCTACGCGGATTCCAGATGTGGAGGATCATGCACCTTGCCTGTTGGACCTTCTGCTGACCTCTCACCCGGACGGACATCAGATTTCCGTCGACGCCCCTTTAGACTCCTCGAACCATTGTCTTGTCCGGACTGTGGTGCCACTCACGCTGAAATGGCAGTTGCATTCTGCAGGCTGCCGCCGTGTTTGGTATTAGCCGATTGGGATGGGATGCGGTCTTTCTTTTCATCCTACCCTTGGGGACGGGTCTGCTTCTCGCCGGACGATCCCAACGTTGTTGCGGATTCTGTCGCTCATGTGGTACTTTAGGGTACGGAACTTTTTATTCCTTCCTCTGTGGTGCCCATTGGAGGCAAATCTTAGCCATGGTTTGGTCGCTCCTTTAAAATAGCATCATGCTATAAGCAGGCGTGCTATCAAGCCTGGGCTGACGCATCAACGTCCCGGGATGTAAACACCAGCGCTCTAAAAAAGAAGTATAATTCCGCCTCTAGGTCCTTCAAAAGAGTCATTGCCAAGGTAAAGTCAGAGCACATAGGCAGAATTGGCGAGAAACTAGTTCGCCTTCCTTCTGGAACCCGTGCATTCTGGTCTCTCGCCAAGGCTGTCCAGGGGAATTTCTGTCATCCATCTCTTCCATCTCTGCACAGGGAGGACGACTCATTGGCCCATACCGCAAAAAAAGAAAGCCGATCTGCTAGGCTCTTTCTTTGCGTCCAACTCAACTCTCGATGACGAGTACGCCGCCATCCCGCGGTGCGAGTGCTCCATGCCGGAAGTGCAGTTCACACAGCGCTCGGTTCGCAAAGCACTGCTCTCCCTGGACATCCACAAGTCGAGTGGGCCTGACGGAATCCCCCAATTGTGCTGAGGACTTGTGCTCCAGAGTTGGCACCAATTTTAACGCATCTTTTCCGGTACTCCTACTCCCTAAGCATAGTCCCAAAATCATGGAAGATGGCTTTCGTCCACCCGATCCCTAAAAAAGGCGCCCGCTCAGACCCGTCCAACTGCCAAATTGGCCTCTAAAAAGCTTGGCGTGCTCAGCGGAGGGGGACAGTATTTCATGCCGGCACACCGCCTGCAACTTTACAAGGCGCAGGTTCGGCCGCACATGGAATACTGTTCCCATCTCTGGGCTGGGGCTCCCCAGTACCAGCTCCTTCCACTTGACCGCATCCAGCGCAGAGCGGCTCGAATCGTCGACGACCGAGTGCTTTCCGATCGGCTCGATTCACTGGCGCTGCGAAGAGATGTTGCATCTCTTTGCATTTTCTTTCGCATATACCATGGGGAGTGCTCTGAGGAATTGTTCGGATTAATCCCAGCCACCAAATTTCGTGAACACACTACGCGGCAAACGTTCCGATACCATCCACACCATCTGGATGCTTGGCGGACCACCACTGTATGTTTCAAAAGGAGTTTTCTTCCGCGTACAACCTCTCTGTGGAATAGTTTACCACTAACGATTTTTCCGGACCGATACGACCTGGGGACCTTCAAGAAAAGAGTTTACTCCTTTCTAAAGGGCCGGCAACGCACCTGCAATTCCCTTGGTGTTGCGGTTGATCATGGGCGGCAGTAGTCACTTAATATCAGTTGAGCCGCATGCTCGTTTGCCTCCTCTTTTAAAAAAAAAATTCTTTTATGTGGTAGAGCCATGCTGCAGCTATATTAATTGTATAGTTGTAGCACGCATGGGTCGACTCGACCGGGGAAGGATCACGCTCTCACAGAATACCAGCGTGAAAAAGCAGCTTAATGCTGCTGTGTTTCGTGTGGTGAGATCTAGAGAACTGGAGACCCTTTTTACTGGAAAAGAGGCATTCCATCTTAGTCCTCAAGGCTGACAACGCATTTGCATTTTGATTCGCAAACGAGGATAGATGTAGATGTCTATGGGTCACAGCAACCACTTACCATCAGGTGGACTTTATGCTCGCTTTTCACCATTTTCCTATAAAAAAAAACAGTAAAGACGTTTCAGTTGATCTTTATGAACAATTAAATACTCCACTAAGGAGCTCATAAAATTATATATTACTGATAAATTGCGTAGCCTAGCATTCAGTTTTCCGGAGGTAATAACAACAGCACATTCTTTACCCTTCCTGTTACAACTGCAACAGCTGAAAGAAGTTTTTTTAAAATAAAAACTGATAAAAATTACCTAAGTACCTCTATGGTACAGGAACGTCTATCAGACTTGTCACTATTGTCTATCTAGACACGCAGTCATGACCGATTGCGAGACGTTCGCCATTAGAAAAAGAATTTAATAATAATATATAATTAAATTTAATAATTTAATTCATTCACGAAAGAAGTTTCTTCTTATTTTGTTTGTATTTTTTCGTAGGAGAGGGAGCAAACGAGCATACGGCTCACTCATGGTAAATGATTACCACCGCCCATTACCAACTGCAACACTAGGGGAATTGCAGATGCGTGGCCGGCCTTTTAAAACATAGTAGGCTCTTTTCTTAAAGGTCCCTAAATCGTATCGGTCCGGAAAAATCTCTGGTATAAAATTGAAGAAAAATCTTCTTGATTGTATTGTTTGTATCTGGCTGGTTTTAATATCAATACATGTAGGACATTAAGGAAAAGAAAAAATAAAAAACACTTTTCCCGCCTATTTTCAATTGTTTTTCGTCTGCCAAAATGAGTGAATCTAACGAAGAAATTCGATACGTTCCGAAGTTTTATTACAAAAAAGCAGTGATAGTGTAGCCCTCCTTTATAATATACACTAATCGTATTATTGCAAAAAAAGTGTAAAATGCGACTCAAGCCAAAAAAAAGAATTTATGACGTTTATGAACATAATGCAGTATCAGTAAGAGTAGAATAAAGTTGGTTCAAGCGTTTTCAGTCCGGAAATTTCGAAGTCAAAGATGCAGCTCGCTCTGGTCACCTTCATACGAATAAAGTCGATACCATTTTTGAAAGGGTGGGCATATTATATAGTACTTCTTTACGAAATAGCCGAAGAATTGAAATTGACCTCAAAAGTTTTGAGCCGTTTGAAAAAGTCTGGTTAACAAAAAAACTCGATATTTAGGTACCACACGAACTCACTGACAGAAACCTAGGAATCGTGTAGGTACTCATTTGCGATTCCCTATTGGAACGTAATAAGACTGAACTATTTATGCAAATATTGAAGTGACAGTAGCCTAATGCCAGGGCGCGGACCGCGAACTCATAAAGGTCGTGGGTTCGAATCCGCTATTCGACTACTGGCGTGAACCACTCGTAACACAAGCAATTTAAGCTTACCACAATTAATAATGTTTATAGCATTGTTAATATTCTTTCTAAAAAATAAAAAAAGAAGTAAAAAAAAGATTAGAGTGGATCACCTACAACAAGATCGTGCAAAAAAGATTATGGTCAAAGGGTAGTCAAGTCCAAGGACTGTAGCGAAACCTGGATTAACACGCAATAAGGTGATGCTGTGAGTATGGTGGAATTAGAAGGGCATCGTTTATTATGAGCTTTTACAGCTGGGCAAAAACACCGACTCGGATCCCTACTGCCAACAACTATTAAGACTCAAGCAAGAAATTGAGAAAAAACGGCCGGAGTGCTCATCAGAAAAGGAGTGGCCTTTCAGCAAGACCACACAGATGTTTACCCACTCGGCAAAAATTGAGAGAGCTTGGTTGGGAAGTGTTAATGCATCCACCATATAGTCCTAACCTTGCATCCTCAGATTTTTACTTTTTTCTGTGTCTTCAGAATTCTTTAAGTAGTGTTAGGTTAACATCAAGAGAGAACGGTCAAAATTACTTGTCGCATTTTTTTTATCAAAAATCCAAATATTTTTACAGGAACGGGATAATGTCATCTACCTACATGATGGCAACAAGTTATCGATCAAAATGGCATATATACATATATGTTATAATTAACTGTAATAAAACTTTAAAAAAATGTGTATATAAAATACGAAGATACTTTTTCCCCGACCTATTAAGTTCGCCGAACAATACAAGAAAAGTTTATATTTGATTTGAATTGTTCGGCTAGATTAGTTCCTGGGATTATTAATAGCTTAAATACCTAATTATTTTAATTCAATGAGACCGTTTTTGGGCCTTTCATTTGAGGCCCCCAACAAATTTTGATACAGAGCCCGTCTATGGCACGCTACGCCACTGATTTTCGGCAGCCTTGTCGTGGCCACATTTAAATTTATGACTGCAGCAAGGACGAAGCGGCTCAACCGAAGAAATATTACTTAATATATAAAATAGCAGCTGCTGTGTTCCATATGGTGAGAGACAAGAACCGGAGAACTATAAATTTGGAATCTCGTCTTGTTTTTTGGAATAACAGCTCTTTCCATTTTATATCTTAGACGCAGTTTTCTAAGGGCTACAGTCTAGCTAGTCTAGTCGGCTCTTTCGTCACCCTTATTTCTATAAAATTATTTTTAATACGCGAGCAAATAGAAGTCTATCCTCCTCAGCACTAATGAAAGGGTTAGTTACAACTTTAAGTGCTGATTTATTACCTACCCTTTATTATGGGAAACGTTTGGGAAATAAAAAATATTTCGAGGTCATGTGAAATCAATGCGACTGAAAACTGCTCCGTAACCCTCACAGAAACGAAACTTGGCCTCTGCCCAACAGTGGAACGTACACAAGGTGTAAATTTACTTGTAAAATGTGACAAACTTAAAGAAATTACTCTTTCATCAAAATGCAGATGCGTTGTCACCCCTAAGGACTAAGATAGAATGCATCGTTTCTCGAAAATGGGTCCCCGGTTCTCAACGCTCACCATACGAAACACAGCAGCATTAAGCTGCTTATTCACGCTGATAATCTGTGAGAGCGTGGTCCTACCACGGTCGAGTTACCCTTTCGTGCTACGAAAAATTAATATTACTGCAGCGTCGTTCTACTACGTATACAAAATGCGAAGAATTATATTATATTCGTATATCATTGCTTTAAAATAATAAAAGTAATTTTTAAACCAGATGTAGATATACCGCTGCTACCACCATCACCATACAAGGTTGATTCACCGGATCCAGAATCCCTGTGGCCCCAAGGTCTGTTCGTGCCGCCGTTTAACCCACCCAGCTTCGTATCGCGAAGGCTAGATAGTAAGGTTTAATTAATTATATCTCTATCGTCATAAATCATAGTCCTATATCTAAGGATAATCTAAAATCCTATTTCTGCCGGCAAACATAGTTCTGGAGGGTATCGCGAACCAGGTAGGTATAATAACAGCCTTACAGACGTTACATTTTGTACCTCAGAGGCACGGTAATATTATCTATACAGTAAATCCAACTTCATACAAACGGACGAAGCGAGAGCTATACCTACGCGCCTCGATCTCGGCATGCGCTCGGCATGCAGACAGTCGAGACTGTGCCGCAGTCATGATTTTGTGAAATATATAAAAAAAATGGAGGTAATAAATAATAGAATAGAAATAAAGAAATAATAAAACTGGACTTCATTTAAAAACAAACATATAAATTGTAAAGTAGCTGCAGGTATCTATAACCAAGTAAAAGATATTCCTTTTCTCCACGTTGTCCATTTTTCCCAAAATAATTTTTAATTTATATTATTTTTAGCTTTATATCAGAAAGCGGATTTTTTTTTATTTAAAAATCTAATAATAAAGCATTTCGTAAGTCTCAGCCGAGGTGCAAATATTTTTCCGTCGCAAATTTATTTAACCGATTTGTTATTCAAACATAAACATGGTTTTTTAATTAAATCTACCAATCAAAAAACGACACGCATTTTTATTGAACACTTCCTATTCAATTCACAAAGTACCTATTTTATTTGTTTATATAAAAAGTATATTTACAATTATAAAACTAAACGGAAACACAAAGTAGGCAAGTGTAAAAATGCTGGAGGCAGGTAGCCCTATCACATGTTTACGTGCCGCATTTAGCATTTAGGCTGTAGGCATTTATTTGAAAGATACGGCCGAGTTACAATACTGTATAGATAATATTACCGTGTCAGAGGTAACAACACATCTGTAGCTTTCTTTGTGTGAACTTGCCTGCAGCTGTCCGTGTGCTCCAGTAGCCACTCACCATCAGGTGGACAAAAGTCTTATGTCACTATAGTTTTTCGGAAATATAAATACTTAGTTCTCGAATTGGTCATTATAAGGTTGCTCAAAAAGTTGACCCTGTTTTGTAAATAATGACAACTCATATAAGAAGACTACGTCCAGCAGTGAACTAGTGGACTGTTATGATGATGATAATAACGATAATATCCTTAAAACAAATGTCTTATCTTTCTCTTTGCCATATGATAAAGAAAACTTGAAATATTTTCGATTAGATACGAAAATATATACGTAATTTGTCGGGAAATCCCGGGAACTGCCACAGAATAGGTACACAAAAACTTCAATATTAAGTGTAACATGCAAAACCAGCACAAATGATTAGAAAAGAATAACATGCACTGTGTAATTTCTGTAAATGCTGTAGTCAAATATCCTGGCTTAAACAGACCCTTTCCAGATTTTTGTAATAATTTTTTTGAAAATGGCTGTGCAAGCGTTGTAGTCACTTAAATTGCACGCAGACATACTCCTACAATCAGGCCGATAAAAGTTACAGCCTATATATGTCCCACTGCTGGGCACAGGCCTCCGCTCGTTTCTGAGAGGGTTTTAGGGCAAGGAATTGTCCGCCGTGCTGCCTAAATGCGTGTTGGCGAACTTCACGTGTCTTCGAAACATTTTTTTTCTTATTTCTCTGACATGCAGGTTTCCTCACGATGTTTTCCTTCACCGCCGAGCACGTGGTAAATCAGCACTTAAAATTGCAGTTAACAATTTCATTGGTGCCGGCGGGGATCGAACCCTGCTCGCGTACTGTGAAATTTACAGCGAGCGCTGACCATCTAAGCTACCACGGCTCGATACATCGACAGACCGATAGTAAGGGATTAAAACCCGTGGCCGTTCAGCGCCGCAAGCACTATGCAACCGAGCCGGCATTGCAGGCGTAATGCATGTCCATATATTGGGTACATATTTGGAAGCCTACAAATAATTGTTCCGAATCTGGAGATATATCCATGTACAGCTTATGTATAACGGCTTCACGATACAGAACGTAAGTTAAAAGATATGGCCATACTGACTATGCTATGCATGCGCCTTGGTAAGCGCAAAATTGATACCCTCGTACTGGAAATGTTGCACTCAACACCACTCCGTGAGATTTAGCTCCGGTTTTTCGAATGTTGCCCTAGTTTCATATTCATTAATTTATTCATATAACCTACATATCAAATTTTCAATGCTTGACACAAGCCTCCACCATAGAAGCTTCATAGGTCGGATATTTACCATACCGGCCACGCTTGACAAACGGGTTGGAAACCGTAGTACTTTTTATTTTGAGTTGTATCCGGAAGATGCTGCTACCAATATCCTGCCTATATTTGCCTCTACCGGCTCTTATGACACCCACGGATGATATATGGGTACCTAAATCCACTACACAGCGGCTCAGGTCAAAGAAAAAAATATTAATTTCATTTTTTTTTCAGATGATTTCTTTGACCCATACCTATTAGAAGGCTCCGAAGCTGTCGCTGCAGTACAGAGATCTAATCGTCACGGCTTGCTCTATTTCCACGACATCCCCCACATCGAATCATTGTTGGCAAACCAATATCTAAGAATCAAGAACAACCTCAAGCCAAATCGTATTGGAAGTATTCGTCATACCTGGCCGAATAATCGCCCGTAGATTATATCTTAAACAAAAAATAAAACTAAATAATTTAGAACTTTAAATTGTCTTTATATTATAATATAAAAATGTAAAATACTCATCATAAGTCATAATATGCATTTGAAATAATAAAAGATTACCTCAAATTATGGTTTTTCTTTAATATTAATTGTAACATTGGATATGTTCCTTCATCGTTCATGACACCAGGCGTTTTGTAAATAAGCATTATTGATGAAAAACAGGTGTTTCCCGTTATAATTATTTTCATGCTATAAAAAACTATGAAATAATATTTTAAAGGTACATTCATACAGAGAATTCACTTACGTTTCTAATTGTAATACTCTAGTTTATTGTCAGCAGATACATTAGTTTGAGATTTTTTACTAATTTAATTACAACATTACTAAATACTTAAATAGAAGACAACAAATTTTAATAAAAATTTTTGATTTATAAAAATATTATGCATATATTTTGATATATCGTCTGACACACATAAACCCTGCAATGACGTTTTGAACACTATTTGGTGAAAAATATAATCTTCTCATGCAAAAATAAATTAGTATACACATACAGAAAATTTTTTTAAATTACTATTCTGATTCAACAACTTTTCGTGGCTTTATCAACGCATGTTATTTATTTGACCGATTATTTTACGAGATTATATAGATCTCTTTGTCATTACAACACCGTAAAATAAAATCATGAATAAATGTCAACTTTAATGATATCAAGTTTTTACGCATTAACAACAGTGAGAGAACGATATTTCATATAATATTTTCAATAAAACTGTAGGAAAATCTTTTCTCCCTTTTCATTTATAAAAAGGGAGAAAAGATTTTCCTAGAAAGGTATTTTAAGAGATTGGTAAACCACGAGAGTCATTTAATTGGCTCAACGTAAAATACTAATTATAATTACATTACGATATGTAAAATATTCCACAAATTGCCTAAATTAATGAACAATTAAATTTTCTAAAAACCACAAAAATAAATTATAGTAGTTAACACATACCATTTTATGGCGCGTTTTTTAACGCAATATTATAATGCGTTTCCACAAAATAACGGCTTATTGCTGGTTTTCATAAAATAATTATAGTTGTCAGTTAAAAGTAATTTGGCTGAATTCACCTTACGATTGCCGGTTATGACGGTAAGGGCCTGCGCTCACAGATGGCACGGTATGGCACGGCGTGACAAAGCATACTTCGGCCTGCCGGAGGATCCTGTGGCATCCCGCGACATGCTGAAGGATCCTGTGGCATCCCGCGGCACACCACATAAAGGCGCCTGCGCAAGTCGCTGTGTTCACCGCCGCAACGTGCTTAATTCAACCTTGTTTCAATTATATAGCACTCACATTCTTTTAACAACATAAAGTAACCTATGCAAGTGATGCAACGGCGAAACGCGGCATTCCATAAAATGCCGTGACGTGCCGCGGCATCACGTGGAATGCCGCATGCCGCGGTGTCACGCGACACGTTTCGGTCGATTCGTGTTGAAATAAAGAAATGTCAGTGCTAAGATCATTAAAATAACGTCGAAAATCTATTTTCCACGAAAAATTCTTTTGACACGCCGTGCCATGGCGTGCTGTCTGTGAGCGCAGGCTCTTAATCTACATTGACTGTCAGCCAACTACAAAAGAACCAGCCCTCTACGCCTCAGATTATTCTATTCCGCCATAGAATTTTACATATTGCATCACTATCTTTTTTACAATGATATTTTGTTTTCAATTATTACAAATATATAATTCGGCTGAGTTCATCCAGCGATTGGCGGTAAACGAACTTCACATCAAGGTAGTGTGATTAAATTGACCAACATAATATGTGAACCGACAATTTACACATTAAACTATTTTATTTCGATGAATAATTAACATCCACCATCTCTACTTTCACTTTGTTTATATTTTTGAAATGTATGCTGTTAGTTTGTATTTTTTTTAAACTTGCGTTGTCAATACGAAAAGTTTTCAATTCGGGCGAACTTTTAAAATTATAAAGTTAGACAATTGTGGTGGTGGCACAAGCTACTTACTTTATAGCTTTATACCTATATGGAAAGTGGAATGTTTTAAGTCAGTTTTGATAACGAAAGCTTTACGTGAGTTTTTTTTTTAATTTATAAATATCACATAACATAGGACGGATTTACAGAAAAGTAATTAAAATACAAGCAATTCTCATACAACATCAAATAATATTTGGACACCATTTCTCAATTCTATGGAATCTTTGTTTCGAAATGGACTATGATATAAGGCGAATTAATCTTCTTTTTTTAAGCAAATCGTTAAAATAAGTAGCGCCATTAAAGAAGCGTATTTCAAATGCCAGCCGCAGCATGCTATCGCTCTCACACAATATCGGTTAACATTCTCGCACACGTATACAAGGTGTATGTATATGTAGATTGCATAGAATACTATAATTACATACATAATAGAACGGGGGAGTGGGCGGAGCCCGTGTAGCCACTAAAATAACACAACACGTCAATTCACACGCATAAATGTCAACACGAGATGCGTTTTGACGTTACAATCGTTTCCTAATTTCGCATGTAATTTATTTAGAAAATTCCAAATTGCATGCCACAGCGAATCGTTGGTAGTAGTCATAATACATACATAATTACTTGTATGCGTGCTTCCGGCTACGCCTATCCTCGTACAAAATAAGGTTGACAGCCATTCTGTTGTGTCATAATATTATTCTATAGTAGATTGTAACTTTCTGAACCTAACTTTCTATTGAAATATAATTAACAATGCTAAGCAGGTTGAACACAAATAACTTCAATCGCAATTTATGTTGGACCGCAATAAAGGCATTACCTATCAAATAAAATAAGAATTGTTAAAATCGTTTTACAATCCACGAACATATTGCAGACAAACTGTATTTTTGTACTTAATATGCTACATATAAAATATAATAGTATATATAAGAGAATGAGAGCCTTCTAATTTAGTGAATTTGGTTAAAATTAAAATAAACTTTTGAAATAAAAAAATATCAATTAGTTTGTTTCTGACAGTACGTCAAAAAACGGCCACCATTTATATATCGCTTCTTTAATGGCGCGGCTATGATTAATCATATTATATCTTGTTTTTGTCAAACGTTTTAATAACGAATGAATGTGATGTGTAAAATGTAAATATATAAAAAAATGAGATTCAGTTTCATTACAATAACAAAATCAGATATAAAATATCACAATAAAATTATCCTTAAAAACATTATTTAGGAATGATAAAAGGTGTAAAGAACAACTAGAATGGTTATTAATATAGTTGAAGGGAATGTTGAAAATTTAAAAGCTGAATTACAAAGATCGCCATTGCAAAAGCACATATAAACTTTTCTGTGGCCCCACATGGTGTAGGCACACCTTTCTTCATAGTCACTAGGCGGTCGCTGGAGACACATTCTTTCCGTTGCTGCGCCATAATCTGAAGACAAATATTTAGTTACACTTTAGTCAAAGTATCCTCCCATCTAGTCCAAATATATTTAAAAACTAGCAGTTCCCAAGCCAAGCCTATCTCTAATAACATACCATCATTTTTAAAGGCTCCAATGTTGCCCTCAAACGACTTGCCACACCAACCTGATGGGCATGCTACCACATGTATACCCATCTCAACTTCAGGTTCTGTGACATTGAAAGGGAATGGATCCCCGCAGGAACCCAGCTCTCCTCTTGATCTGCATCTAATGCATCTTTTATTCAAACCTGAAAAGTTCACAAAGTATAATTACAAACATACCAAAAACATAGCAAAATAAGCAAAAGCCGCCATATTTGTTATAAAACTCTAACAAATGTGAAGGTGAAAATGAAAATTAGCTGACACTTCACTTAGTTTCAAATTATAATCGTTATGACTAGCAGAATGAAATTGCTGAGGTGTAATAAATAGGCTCTCCAGAATAAATTAGCTTTTAAACAAAAAAGTGGATGGAATTGTTTATAACATAAAAGTGCTTGAACATATTAGTGGTTTTTGTGTATTTTAAATATTTTGACACCATATTTAAGAAAGTTTGTTAGAATACCCTCAATTTTTTATTTTATTTTACTTTCGACCCAGTGTTGTCAGGAATACAATTGAAATAACTACCAAAAATGAGTTCAAATAAAAAAAATACCAATTCACCATCTTGAATTTTTTCTAAGTGCAGTAACTATATGGAATAACCCGTTATCCCTAAACAGCAACATCGTTTTTGTTCACATCGTTCCATAATTTCTAATTTGTTACTATGCCTATCATCATTGATCAAACACTTCAACGCGAGAAAGCCTATTGACGTAATTTATCTCGACTACAAAAAGGCTTTCGATAAAGTCCCTACGACAATTCCAGAAACTGGAATACGTGGAAAGCTAGTGGCTCATCTTTTTTGCGAGGGAGAAAGTCCCTACAAGTAAGAATTGGTAAAACGAAGTCTGATCACATAGAAATACATAGTGGAGTGCCCAGGGTTCCGTTCCAGGCCCTGTTTTGTACATTATTCACACTTTTGACCTTCCCCATTGCCTACAGTGTAATGTGAGCATCTTCGCAGATGATACTGCAAATCCACTAATTGACTACGACCGCCTTCAGAATGACCTGAATAAAATAGGATTGGCTCATAAATTTCAATGCTGCAAAATGTTATACTACACATAGGAAACTGTAACCCTCGTTTTACCTACGAACTGGGCGATGCGTCACTTACAGCTGTTAAAGCACAAACAGATTTGCGACTTAAAATTGCAGAAGCCCGAAGATAGTCTTATCGAAACCTTTAAGAACTTAAGTGAACATTAAGACGTTGAGGAGTTTGATAAATTGTTTCCCCCTTTTTTCCTTTAAAAAAATAAAAAAAAAGTGCGGGTTTGTGTGTGTGTGTGTGTGTGAGCGTATTGTGTATTTTTATTGTGTGTGTGATCTTCATGAACAATTCTTCAATTGCATCATAATTCAAG